CACCAAACCCATTTCACAGATGAGAAAACTGAGGTTCAGGGATTCAGTATCTCACCCAGTGTCACACAGTATGGGTCAGGAGCTTGCGCCCAGGCATCCTGAGGCCAAAGCCAGTCACTTCTATGATAGCCGTCCCTCCGTCCAGGGTCACGTCAAATGCCCTGCGCTTGGGCAGAAGCCTCGTGCCGTCATGGAGGTACGCCGAGCACCTGGGGCCCAAGAAGGAAGCGGTCAGCTGTGCTTGGCAGGCTGGGCATAGGCCAGAGACGTGAGCCCACAGTGCTTAAGCCAACTCCTGGCAGCTCCGTCGGAGGAGGGCGCTGGGGAGGGTCTCCCTCTGGCAGGCAGGCGCTTCGGGCTTCCTTCCCATTGGAAGTGTCCCAGCCGCAAGCTTCCTCTAAAGGCTTTTCTGCTGTCCCCCTAGCGGCCACTCAGGACACCGTGGAGCGCTATCACAGAGGTGACTAAGCAGGAGGGGTCCATACTCCAGGGGATGGGCCCTCCACCAAGACCGGTCTTCAGCAAGTCCCCGGTAAAGGGTCGACTCGTGTCCACATCCTAAAGCACAGAACCCGTGCATGTGACCTTATTTAGCAAAAGGGGCTTTGCAGATGGGATTCAGTGAAGGGTCTGAAGATGGGATCAGCCTGCGTTATCCGGGTGCACCCTAAATTCAGTGCCCTGTAAGACACACATGGAGGACAGAGAGCGAGAGAGAGGAGGAGGAGGCCTTGTGATGAGGAGGCAGAGGAGGCAGTGATGCAGCCACAAGCCAAGGAAAGCCTGGAGCCACCAGGAGCGGAAGAGGCCAGGCAGGATCCTCCCTTAGAGGCTTCGGAGCGAGCACGGCCCTGCCCACACCTTGAATTCAGACTCCTGGCCTCCAGAACTGCGAGAGAATAAATTTCTATTGTAAGCCATCCAGTTGGTGGTCCTTTGTGACGGTGGCCCACGACCCTTCCCTGTCCTCTCTTCCTGCTTGTCCAGCATCCTTGTTATGGCTGACTTACCTTCCTACCCCTGCACCGTGGAGAAACAGCCGCTACAAAACGCACCATCTTTTTCTGACACCCTGGACTGGTTAAGGGTGGCGTTCAGGTTCTCACGTTTGACCCTCTCTCCCTGCTGGTCCAGCTGTACCTTTCACGGTTTGGCCAAAAGACCAAGAATGATCCCAGGCAGCCGTCACCTAGGACAAGAGAGCAGTTAGGTTAATCACGCGGGCCCGCCTGCCACGTTCATATAAACATTGGCAGATTAGGTCGTCTGGCTCCCCCGGGGCCTTGTGGACCGCCCTCCGGGACCCCAGCTCTGTCCCTGTTCTGTT